CTCACACATCACATTTAACTTGACAGAGGAATACGCTGGCAGAGTAAGTCGATTTGGTCATGAAATTTTGGAGGTCAGGTGGAATCCCTGCAGGAGCCTACGAAAATTTAAGGTTACAAATATCAAAGTCTTTATTTGTCCAGTCATACACGGCATGACAATGCTGGTTGGAAAGTAGTGAAGATTTCAGTTTGGATTTCAGGCAAGAAATACTAACAGAACAATCAAAGATTTTAAGGTTAGGGGTTATTATATTCCATATTTTCGTTGACCTCGTGTTATGGTTGTCTGGGGGATCCGGTTTATTGATAATAAGCATTGGTTTCCTGGAAGAACGAGAATACTCTTCGTACATAGACATAGGAGTAGAAAACTTCATGATCTTGAATAATTCTATGTAGCTATGGTAAGTATAAAGATTTTGTACAGTGAGTATCTCGTTGTTTTTAAACAGAGGTTTAGTGTGCTCCTTTTTATAAAATTTACTATCAAGTTTCTGGTCAGTAAATGGTCTGGTTCGAACACACGTTTTGAATTTATCCAGGTAGGCTGCTCTATCACCAAACAGGACCCTCAGACAGTACTTCTGTGCAGTGAATATTGAGCTTATACGATTTTTAGCTGCCCCACCCCATGCTGATATGCAGTACGACAGATGGGATTCAAAAAGAGTGTAGTATAACTGTCTGTGGAGAAATTCTGGGAGGGAGCAGCGTAGACGACACAGAGTTGAGGTGGCATGGTTAAGCTTCCGTTTTAGGGCTATTATATGTTCTTCCCATGTTAGATTTTCGTCAATGACGACTCCTAAAAATCTAGCTGACGTTACTCTTTTGATGGGGTAGTTGTCTATATTCATTATGAATTCTTCTTCAACGTTTGCTTCAGTACGTGACTTAGGTCTAAAGTGAATGTAGCAGCATTTTGACATGTTTATGTGAAGCTTGTTAGCCCGCATGTATGTTTGAAGGTTTGAAAGTAGGGCGTTGCTGCGTTCATATGCTTCTTGTGCAGTTTTACCAACAACAAATATGTTGGTGTCAACCGCAAAGGTGACAAACGATCCCAAGCTAGAGCTATTAGAGATATAATTTATGTTAAGTAGGAATAAAAGGGGTCCGAGAATTGACCCCTGGGGAACCCCAAATTTTATTGGAAGTAGGTCAGACTTTTCTCCTACAACATCAGTGTACTGAAATCGATTAGTTAGGTAGCTCTTGATCAGATCGTTTGCCACGCCACGGATGCCATACCTTTCTAGTTTGGTAAGTAATGTTGAGTGATCTATAGTATCGAAAGCTTTGCTGAGGTCGATGAATATGCCTAACACATGGTGCTTCAATTTGATGTGCTTAGATATGAGGTCAACAGAGTAGTTTACTGCATGGGAGGTTGAGTGCGATTGCCTGAAACCAAACTGAGTCTTAGATATTATTCCCTGAGAGCTGACAAACGAATAAATCCTAGAATATATGATTTTCTCAAATATTTTGCCAAATATGGACAAGGTGGATATAGGACGGTAGTTTTCTATTTCTTCTGGATTACCTTTTTTGAAGACGGGTGTGATTCTGCCAGTCTTAAGTATATCAGGGAATATACCATTTGACATAATTTTGTTTAAGTATCTGCTGATAATTGGTGCAATAACGTGGGATGAAGTTTTAATAACGGTTATGGGAATATCACTGGCCTTTCCATTCTCGAATTCTTTGATTATTCTTAGAACCTCCTCAGGAGTGCTGTCCTCTAACATAATAGATCGAGAGTTACTAGGGCTAAGGAAGTCATGGAATGTTTTCATGGGGAGAATTGGAATACCAGAAGACAAGTCAGTTGTGATAGTTTCATTGAGCTTGGGAGCAATTGATACAAACCAGGAATTAAAACCATTGGCAATTGCTCTCCGGTTCAAGATTCTTTCATTATTGATGATGAAAGGTGGTTTGGTTGTTTTCTTTCTTTTGCCCCTAAGCTCATTTATTATCTGCCAAGTTTTCTTACTGCTTTCAATGTTTTTATAGATTTCGTTACAGTAATAGGAGCGTTTGGCTGCCTTTATGATACCCTTAAGCATCCTACGATAGTCACTAAATATCTTATAAAGAAGGACATTGCCAGATGGATCTTTATCTGTTACTGTATCTGACCATTCTTTACAAAGCTCATGTTTTCTGTCGATTGAGAGGATGATTCCATCTGTAATCCAAGGATTAAGCTTTGGTGTTCTTTTGGTCGTTTTCGGTACTTCTAATTTACAGTGCTTGTCAAGGGTGGATTTGAAGCAATCGACAAATTCGCAAAAATCTGAAGATTGGGACAGCTGATTCACCTTCACCTCAAGGTCAGAAACAAAATTTTTAAGCTTGGCACTTGAGTAGTCGTAGTAGCGGACATGTTTTTCATTGTTCTTATTTCTTGGGGCCGGGGTTGAGGTGAAGGAGAATATGAACGTGTGTTCACTTAATCTATCCTGAAGTACACCAGAGAGCAAAACATTATCAATATCACTAACTAGGATGTTATCTATACACGAGTTTTTACAATTAGGCCGGAAGTGGGTAGCAATTGAGATGGATGGATACAAACCATTACTAATTATAGTGTCTTCAAATAACTGGTTGTGTGACGAAACTTTGAAGAGGTCTGAGTTAAAGTCGCCAAGCAAACGAAAGGGCTTGCCGGATATCTGCTTAGCAATGGCGGATGGGGTCCACAAGCCACAAGATACCACAAGAGACTCGCTGAAAAACTATCCCAGAAGAGAGGAGAAGACTATGCGGCTATTATGTGTTACATGCGCACCAGGATTAGATTCTCAATCCTCAGGAGCACCCTGATAGCGGTCAGGGGTGAGAGAGGGAGACGGCAATCGTATACATTGCCAGTCAGTGTAACTTCGTTTAACTTGATACCTGCCACCATGGACTATGAATGTTTCTAGACACTATCCTTTTGATATTGAGATATTGGTATCTCAGATCACGTGTACATCGTTCCTTTTTTTATGACACAGTAATTTATTGACACTCACAGCTATAATTTTAATCATTGAATCAGTATTTTTATCTATTAACTTATTACACATTTGTGCTCTGCTTTAGCATCACTTGACTATTTAAAAAAATTGTTTGTTCAGGCCATGACCTTATAGTCAGCCAATTGGCCATTGCTATATTATGTGTATATTGTTTGAATATTCTTTCTCTTTTACTATGACCCTAGAGGCCAAATTTGTAAGTCTCAAAGACTCAAATTTAGGTCAAAAGTAATATTTATTAGTTAGTTCCAAATTGTTTTACAGAGATTTGTTTTAAGAGCTTTGTTTTAAAATGTGACTTACAAGAACTGTTTTTTTTGTTTTGTTTAGCCTCAGATACTACTTGATTTTGGACATAATTTTTACACAACTAATAAAGCAATGTAGATTCCTCAGAGATCGCCAAATTAGTTATATTGGCACCAGTAAGAACATCTGCTAACTTACATAAAAGTATTAGTAACACAACGAAGTGCACCATTTTTGATGAATTGTCTCTAATTTGCTCCAACCATTGTTAAGATAATCAAAAATGTTCATAAATAAAAATATCGATTAATTTAAACTTTCACTTTATGAAGTGAACATGTTAAGGAGTCAAAACATTTTAAATTAGGTCCAACGCTAGCCCTAATTCAAATTTATAAACTTCTTCTTCGTTTTTTATTGATGAAACCACAGATAATTATGATTACGCTTATTTCTAAATTATTATATCCTTCAATTCTTATCACTTCATTATATGAACAAATTCCTTTTAGGCTTCATTTCTTATTAAAGCATTCGAGATTTCTTTTAAAATCACTATAGAAGTTCTTAACATTCACTGCACTGGTAGCGGTAGGGCATTCTAATAAGTTATTACTCTCTCAGATAGAAACGCTTTACTAAGATTTCTTGATGATTTAGAGCTTTTAACATTGCACGCTTTATCTTTGAAACAATATTTATTACTGATGTACTTATATTGAACATATCTGATTCAGATAATTTGAACCATATTCAAGTGAACCACTCTTTCTTTTCATTTCGATTTTGAATGGCATTTTGAACTTTGGTTTTTGACGAGGTCCAAGATTTCAAAATCGTTATTGCATCCCCTATCTTGCTAGCCTTTTTTCATATAGAGCTTTGTCTCCAAAAACTCATATGGACTAGCGTTTCGGTGAGTGCAAAATCTTTTGGGCCCGCACATTCAACATTTCTTGCCCCATTAGTTGTCTGTCCTTGATTACAGTCCAATTACAAACTAGCAGTCATGGACAAAAATTCATACACCAGATGGGCATCATATTTTCATTGTTATAAATTTGTTGATTCTGTAGCCCTTTCTTCCTTCTTAAGTTATTTTGAAGTACGGGCTGAGAGGTTCATTCTACTTTGCACACTATCTATAGACAATAAGGCTGTCTTCAAAGACAGACCTTAACCTTCAAGACGTGAGAAAAAGATACCCCTGCAAACTGGAGAATACTTTGTTTCTGAATTTGCTTGATGCTTTTGTTAATAGGTTGCATTTACTCAACATTTGTTATGGCACACTTCAACGCGTGTATACTGAAAGGTTAACAATTAGTGGATAACGGCTATCCTTACTAGAACAAATGGAGATTTTTGGAAAAGCCCTTCCTCATAACTCATTAAAGTGGACTAAGGACTTTACAAGGTTCACTCAACCAAATTATCAGATGGAAGTTCGTGATTTAGGGTTAAGAGAAGAGGGGACTCCATAAACCTAAATCCTTATCTCACCCCATGGGCTTGATAGGAGAAGCGGGTCTCAAACCATCAACTTACCAATCTCAAATTATTGAAGCCGCTACTTAACCACCAGATCCCTTGTATTGTATTCTCAGTTTGGAGACATTTAATGAATTTCTTGTATTCTTTGAACTCAAGAGAATTAAATTTTAACTGTAATTGACAATAATATATTTTTATTAACTGCAAATCCTAATTCTCAGGATATGAAATGGCATGAGCTGAATATTGATGCGGCTATTCTATCAGCTATAACTGAAGTATTTCAGTTTCATGATCTCACACCTGTTCAAGAGCATTCCATCCCTCTTTTTCTTACATGCAAAGATGTTGCTGTTGAAGCTGTGACTGGTTCAGGTGAGATTATTTTGATATTGACATTATATGTTCATTTTACCTAACAACCTTTGAAGTTAAAAACTTCAACTAAATCATCATATTTATCAATTTCAGGGAAAACACTTGCTTTTGTGGTACCGATGCTCAACAAAATACTCAAATCTGGTGCTGCACTTAAGGACAACAAAATTTTGGGGATAATAATATCTCCCACTCAAGAGTTAGCCTTGCAAACTGATGATGTCGTAAAGCGTTTTTCAACGCACATCTCTCAAATCAAAACATGTGTATTTGTTGGAGGTAAATTAAATTATAGCTCTATATTGTCAAGTTGTGTGAATGATTTTGGTACAATTTCTCAATTTGTGATCAGTAACAGAAAATGTAACAGAAAATGTAACAGAAAATGTAACATTAAATGTAACAGTAAATGTAACAGTAAATGTAACAGTAAATGTAACAGTAAATGTAACAGTAAATGTAACAGTAAATGTAACAGTAAATGTAACAGTAAATGTAACAGTAAATGTAACAGTAAATGTAACAGTAAATGTAACAGTAAATGTAACAGTACTGTAAATGTAAGATAACAATAAATATTCTATCAGGTCATTCATTACCTGAGGAGGATGAGCAGAAATTCAAGTCAGATGGAGGAAACATTATCATAGCTACTCCTGGAAGAATAGAGAAATGCCTTGGTTGGGAATTTTTTTTTAACTTATAATTTACATAATTCAAATATCAGGAGATATTAGGGAGATAATATATAAGTGCCCACAATATAATAATTATTGGCAAAAAATTCTTTAAAATATTACATTTTTTGATATTTCACACCTATTAACAGAACGGTTGGCTCCTTATTTAAAAGAGCTTGAAATGCTCGTTCTTGACGAAGCAGACATGTTACTCCGGTTGGGATTCCAGAAAAGTTTAACCACCATTTTAACTCGATTACCTAAACAGGTATTAGTTTAAATATTTTTGAATTGATAGGCTCTCTTTATTTGGAACAGTATAAGTTGCCTAATCGTAAGAAATCAAACAAAAGGAAATCTTGCTCACATTTACATATTTTGACTTCGCTAACGGAAATTTGATTTGTTTGACCTTCATTGTGTGTGAAATTTAAATCCCTTTTTAAATCTCTGAAAATCCATATACAAAAAAAACCTTCACTTGTGCAATGTACAACGCACATGGCAGTTACAGCTTCATGACAAAGTGTATTTTCACAGAGAAGAACAGGGTTGTTCAGTGCAACTCAAACAGATCAAGTAGAGGATCTGATACGAGCAGGTCTCAGGAACCCATACAGAGTAACTGTTAAACAGAAGTTCAATGATCAACGTCAGGTTAGTTTACTATCAACTAATTCAACGTCAGGTTAGTTTACTATCAATTAATCAACGTCAGGTTTGTTTACTATCAACTAATCAACGTCAGGTTAGTTTACTATCAACTAATTCAACGTCAGGTTAGTTTACTATCAACGTCAGGTTAGTTTACTATCAACTAATCAACGTCAGGTTAGTTTACTATCAATTAATCAACGTCAGGTTTGTTTACTATCAACTAATCAACGTCAGGTTAGTTTACTATCAACTAATTCAACGTCAGGTTAGTTTACTATCAATTATTCAACGTCAGGTTTGTTTACTATCAACTAATCAACGTCAGGTTAGTTTACTATCAATTAATCAACGTCAGGTTTGTTTACTATCAACTAATCAACGTCAGGTTAGTTTACTATCAACTAATCAACGTCAGGTTAGTTTACTATCAATTAATCAACGTCAGGTTTGTTTACTATCAACTAATTAACGTCAGGTTAGTTTACTATCAATTAATCAACGTCAGGTTTGTTTACTATCAACTAATCAACGTCAGGTTAGTTTACTATCAACTAATCAACGTCAGGTTAGTTTACTATCAACGTCAGGTTAGTTTACTATCAACTAATCAACGTCAGGTTAGTTTATTATCAATTAATCAACGTCAGGTTTGTTTACTATCAACTAATCAACGTCAGGTTAGTTTACTATCAATTAATCAACGTCAGGTTTGTTTACTATCAACTAATCAACGTCAGGTTAGTTTACTATCAACTAATCAACGTCAGGTTAGTTTACTATCAACTAATCAACGTCAGGTTAGTTTACTATCAACTAATCAACGTCAGGTTAGTTTACTATCAACTAATCAACGTCAGGTTAGTTTACTATCAACTAATGCGAATACTTTCAGCTTTAAACATTCAGCTTTTGGAGACGTCTTCATAATTTATTCAAGAGTGCAGTGTTGATGATGCTATGATGTTAAATTACTGTTTTATTACTTCTAATTAATTACTGTAATTTAACAGATACAAAAGACACCTCTGAGTCTGAACAATTACTACATCTGCTGTGATGCTGCCCAGAAGTCGTCAAGTCTTATCTCATTCCTGAGATGTAATAAGGATGCCAAGAAAATGCTGTTCTTCAGCACATGCGCGGCAGTCGAATACTTCGGCAAAATTATCACAACTATTTTCAAAAACACCAAGGTTTGTTTTTAAAAAAAATAACGGTAGAAAATTGACTACAGTTATACCTCTATATTATACCCCATTATACCGGACCTTTGGGGAAAATGAAAAGTAAACTTTATTTTAAAAAATCACGTATAATGAGATTCGCCTGACTCCAATTCCCAGTAACTGTAGCCTCTCAAATAATCTGTCAAGCGTCTCTGGTCTCATATACCCCGTTATAGGGCCTTATATGCACGTATTGTGATGAAATACATCTCGATATGCTAGTTGTTACATACTCAAATCATAACTAATAGTTTAGGGGAGGAGGAGGCCCTGTCATATCTGGGTACCCGGTATAGAGAGGCATGATATATCAAGATCAAACTGTACTGGTTTCTACCAAAACCACATATAACTAGCTTAGATCTTGATTTATCGAACGGGTATTATAATACTAGAAATCGATGTCAAAAACGAACTTGGAAATTACAATGTTAACGTTTGCAAACTGTGGGATTTTCATAAATGTTTTTTATTAAGGTGTTATTACTGCACGGCAAGATGAAGAGGAAACGAGAGGATGTGTTCTCAGAGTTTCGTAAGATGACACGTGGTGTGCTAGTCTGTACCAGCGTGCTTGCTAGAGGTATTGACGTGCCTGGAGTTGACTGGGTTCTTCAGTACGACCCTCCTCGGGAACCAGAGGAGTTCGTTCACAGGTCAGATTCAGTACAGTTTCATCATTCACCATTTATCCACAAATTTACAGAAATTTCGCCATTTTCCATCGGTGGATAACCATCATTTGTCACCACATTTGCTTTTGATCTTTATCTGTTTTTAAATACCTGAGTTGCTCACTCAGTCTTGAAATTGTACATAAAATATAATTTCAGATGTGGACGAACTGCTAGGATGGGGTGTAAAGGCAATGCTCTACTTTTCTTACTTCCCAATGAGATGGCTTACGTCAACTTCTTGAGCATAAACCAGAAAGCTCCTCTTCAGGTTCGTTTGTTTTTACTTAAACTTATTAATTGAGAAGGAAATTCAAAACACTTCCCTAAACGGTCAAGGTACCAAGGACTCTACTTCGATAGATAATGCAAAGTGTAGACTTAATCAGTTTAAGGAAGTCTCATTATCAGATCTTGAAACCTTAATTAAGAGTCTTCCCAATAAATCAAGCGTACTCGATGTCATACCAATGTGGCTCTTCAAGAACTGCTTACCCGAGCTTCTCCCAATCATCCATTACATCGTGAATGAATCACTAAGAGTCGGAAAGTTTCCATCTGCCCTAAAAGAAGCATCTATTAGGCCTGGACTCAAGAAACCTACCTTAGATGTTGATGAGCTGAAAAACTATCGACCGATTAGCAATCTAACTTATCTGTCCAAAATACTAGAAAAAGTAGTTTATTGCCAATTAAATGAATATGCTGATGTCAACAACCTGTTTTCCCCATATCAATCAGGCTATAGAAAATTCCATAGTTGTGAAACTGCAGTTACCAAAATACATAATGATATTCTAATGATGATTGACAGCAAATCGAATGTTGTGCTTCTACTCTTAGATCTATCAGCTGCTTTCGACACCATAAACCATAACCTCCTTCTTACGAAACTCAAGAATGCGTATGGTATTACAGAACTAGCACTCAGCTGGTTACAATGTTACCTTAATAATCGCACATTCAAGGTTAAAGTAAAAAAAGCCACATCTTCTGAAGGCTATCTGGATATTGGTGTACCTCAAGGATCCATTTTAGGACCACTACTGTTCATATTGTATACCAGAGATCTTGAAGAAATTGTCACAAAATATGGTTTCTCGATACATTTGTATGCAGATGACACACAGGTGTACTTTACTTTTGATGTTCACAGTTCTAATCCTGATTTAACAGCTGTGAAAAATTGCTTTCTGGAGATAAAGCAATGGATGACAGTTAACTTCCTAAAACTGAATGATGAAAAAACAGAGTTCATTGATATAGGTCCATATGTCAGCCCAATCCAGACAATGGATTTAGGAGACCTCTCAATCTGCCCTGTTAGCAAGGCCAAGAACCTGGGATTCCTTTTCGATCACCAAATGAATCTGGACTCTCAAATAAATGCTGTCTCCAAAGTATGTTATTTGAATCAAAGGGACTTAGCAAGAATCGGTTCGAAGCTTTCCCATGACCTAAAAGTTCAGTTAGTTCACTCCAATATCCTCTGTTTCATAGACTACTGCAACTCAGTCTATTATGGTATAACAGAAAAGAATCTCCATAAGCTACAAAAGATACAGAACAATGCTGCTAGATTTATATTTGGTCTTTACGGAAAAAAGATACGTGAACCTATCATGCCTTACCTCAAAAAGCTCCACTTTCTGCCTGTTCGGTTCAGAATTAAGTTCAAAATATCACTTCTGGTCTTCAAGTGTCTTAATAACATAGCCCCTCAGTACTTACAAGGACACGTCAATCTAAGGGAAGTACGAAGACGAAGTTCCAGACTAGATGATGACTTTTATTTGTTGAAAGTTCCTCCTGCTCCTCATTTCAGACGAACAGATGCTGCATTTATGTTTTGTGGACCAAAAATTTGGAATGAACTACCCTACTCAGTGAGATCATTATCATCTGTAGAATGTTTTAAAAATGCCCTAAAGACGTTTTATTTCCAACTAGCTTTTGATAATATTTCTAATATTTGTCCATAATGTCTGAACTGATATGAAAGTGCATAATTTTGGTAACTTCATACAAATATTTGTTCATAAAATCTGAACTGTTTAAAAAGTCCATAATCTTGCTATTTCAACACTAAGTCTCGCTTGAATGACTTTAATGTACATCTTTGTTGGGTATATTTTAATGTCGAAGCGTGTAATAAATGTTAGAATTTATTTATTTATTTATAATCTATTGACCTTTTATTACATTCAAGACCTTGGGGCTAGGGCTATGTATTTTTTTGCTGGGGATATGAGAACTGTTGGAAGAGATTAGTGGTCTCCCTTGACACACAACAGTCGTACAACAAGTCCACACTCAATATGAACTTAAAAGATTCAATAGTTTCGCTTTTACAAAAACTGAGCTAGTTCCTAGGGAGCTAGGGTTTTAAGCTTTATTTAATAATGCGATTTACTAGTTGTGCGTGGGGGTGTGGTTTAAACATGTGCTCAGAAACATCATCCTGTCAAGCTGAAGCTTAATCTGTCACATGGAAATATAATCTGACAAACGATCTGCAGCTTGAGTATCTTATGATCAAGGCTCAAGCTGCACGGACCTTATTACATCATGTGACAGGAAAAGTGAGACAGCTATGATATTTACTTAGGATAAAATGTGACCTATTTAAACAGACGCTTCAAGGTTTTGATCATCACTCCTCGTTGTCTACATTTGCTACATTAAAACCTTTACAAACCTTAGTGCTATTTCTGTTAACAATGACTAAGATATCAGGTGGATCTCGTGCTCCAATCTCTCACATACCAACTAATCTGAAGAAAGTGAGACCTCTGAAGCAAGTTATTCAAAACTTGCAAGAACCCTACGCTACAACCAAACTATCTTCACCTTCTAAACGAAGACGGTTACTTTGCTGCTTGGTGTCGGAGACAAGACATGCGGTGCAATCTTTAATTGTACAATCCCCTGAAGCTGACTCTACTCCAGTTATTAGGTTGAGAACTAGCTTTACCTACTCCCAGTTACAGACTCTGGAGGGAACCTTCTCGAAACAGAATCAGATCAGCTTATTACACGCTGAACAAATCGCTGGACAGTTTGAACTTCCTGTTGAGTGCATCACTTCCTGGTTCTCAAACAGACGGCATTTGCAGAGGAAACGAGATCAGCGCAAAGTGGACAATTTAATAACTAGAAAAAATATAATTATAATTATTAATGAATATTTTTGAGGGTAGATCATATTATTATGGTGTTTTATACATTTACAAAGGATTGATTTATTTTAACATTTTAATAAACTTGCTAGTTTTACTGTCTGCTGACTGGTTTCATAAGATTTTAGGGTAAGATAAACTCACCCTAGCAATGCAGTTAGCGACCATGTGTAGGTTTAGCCGGGGTCAGTTATCCCTTCTTCTGCTGGGCATAGGTTTCCCCCTGTCAGGGCCGGGGAGGCCCTCATGTGAACTAAGATTGAGAGTTGGAATCATGCACAAATAAACTGTCAGTTTTTAAGGAAATTCTTATATACAAATTGAAAATATTGTATTGACAACAATCAGTCAATAAAGGAGTTTATTTCAAGCTCGTGTCTTCTGCAGCTTTAGCCTGCGTTGATCTCGTTTCCTTTGTAAATCTCGTCTGTTTGAGAACCAGGAAGTGATGCACTCAACAGGAAGTTCGAACTGTCCAGCGATCTCATGACCATGTAATAAGCTGATCTGATTCTGTTCGAGAAGGTCTCCTCCAGAGTCTGTAACTGGGAGTAGGTAAAGCTTGTTCGCATTCTGATGAGAGGAGTAGAGTCAGTTTGGATAGCAGGAGAGTGGATGTTGGGGGAGTGAACTGAGTGGAAAGTCTCTGTTAAAGAACAGGATGGTAATCGTCTACGTTTGGCGCCTTCAAGAGGAGAAATAAGTTCAGAAGGCGATGTAAATTTAGTTGGAGAGTAAGGATCTTTTATATTATGGTTGGTGACTTTATCTGGGGGAGATAAAAAGATCGTCTTGGAGCGGGTAAGTCGAGGGTCCAATGGAGGGGGTCTCTTTTTCTTCTGTGTAGCTGAAGTGGAATCAGATGAGATCAATGAAATGTATTGATGTTCATGAACCGTCTGTTGGGATAGATTATCTTCAGAAGAGATAGAGGGTCTCTTTGATTGGGAAAGATAAGTTTTCAGGTCCAATATCTTTCTTTTATGGCTAGTTGGTTGATGAGAAGTTGGAGTGGAAGGATTAGAATTGGGGAGTGTCATGTTGTAGGACTGGTAATTGTAATGTAGGAACGTTTCAAAAACTAATAAATAGATGAGATAAAGAGATAAGAGTCGGTATTTATACCGTAATTGTACAGTAGTCCTCACGTATTAACGAGCTCGTTATACCTGTCATGACGTTGATGTGATCCCAACAAGGGGTCATTAGATCTCCCACTTTTAATTAGCATATCGACAGGTCACGTGTCGTGTCAGGTGATCACGATGGACGGGATCTTGTTCTTTTGTAAGCAGTCACCACTTGCTTCGGATTCGTAGATTATTTGTAGCAATTTAGGGTACGAACAACGAAAACAAAGAAACAAGAGCAATAAAGAGGATTACAAGATATTAAACTATATAATAATACAATAACTGATTTGACAAACTCCTACAAACTCAATCTGCCTTCCTGGCCCTCTATCGGACCTTACATAATGTTCCGTTCGTGGCTCTACTAACTGCCCCTCCCCTCTAGAGTGTTCTCGATCCTCCGGTGTTTACTCAATTATTCCCCTGGTACCGTACGAACCTCACCAAAATACTACCCCGTCTATGCTCGCAAAACTCATTATTCTCTCTCATTGCATTCTAATCCATTGCACGCACTCTCCATTGCATCTTTCCTAAAGCTCTACCAGCATTATCAACCACTAGTAACTTGTCGACTGAGGGATATCCACCCCATCGGAAGAGGTGCTTGAGTCAGTAGTCAGACCCACTGCCCACGCTGGTGAGGGGGGGGGGGGGTCCAAGGGGAACTTTGGGAAAGTCCCCCAAGATTTCTGAAGTTCCCCAAAAAAAAGTTCCCCAAAACTCCCCAAAGTTCCCCAAAATTCCCCAAAATTATTCAAAATTATTCAAAATTATTCAAAATTATTCAAAATTATTCAAAATTATTCAAAATTATTCAAAATTATTCAAAATTATTCGAAATTATTCAAAATTTCTCTAATATACATTAATACCCATTAATGTTAACATGTATGTTATTATAAGGTATAATCTTAACTTACTTGTTGATACTTGCAGCATGATAATTTTTTTGGCATGATAATTTTTTTGGCATGATAATTTTTTGGGGAATTTTGGGGGAACTTTGGGAAAGTCCCCCAGGTTTCCTGAAGTTCCCCAAAAAAAAGTTCCTCAAAACTCCCCAAAGTTCCCCTTGGACCCCCCCCCCCCTGGTGACCAGAAGAATTATTCCATCAATTGCTAATGTTAGAAATCTGTACTCTCTATATGATCTGTTAACATTATAAATCTATATAATCTAACTTAATAATTCTACAAAATATTCACCGCGTACATAGCAGACCATCACAATAGTGGTAGTTACACCACCTTTCAAGTCGTACTATTTAAACTAACTTCTCATACCCCCAGGAGTACAAAACAGAGTTCCCAGTCCTGGACAGCACTCCCAAGATAAGGAAACTAGCTTCCCACGACCGGGATATGTACGAGAAAGGGGTCCGTGCCTTCGTCTCCTTTATACAGTCATACACCAAACACATGTGCAAAGCTATCTTCATCCTTAAAGAACTGGACATGGAGGGTCTTGTTGAGTCGTTCGCTTTGTTGAAGGTTCCAAAAATGCCAGAGCTGAAAAACAGGACTATTGAGTTGAACCTGTCGGTTGAGGTTGATGTTGAGAAGATTCCTTATAGCGATAAGATTAGGGAAAAAGCTCGTTTGAAACGATTGGAGTTAGGGCCTATTCTTGACAAAGATCAGAAAAATAAGAGGTTCAAGAATAATCCCAGCTGGACTAAGAAGAAAGAGCAGAAAGTTAAAAAAGAAAAGCGTAAATTTAAGAAAATCGTGGCTAAGTCAAAAGTTGTCGAAACAATGGATTGAAAGAGTTGTGTGTACTTTTTCTTCACATTTTTAGGTTAACCAAAATATATAATTTCGGTTTATTCTGTTTTATCCTGTTTTTATATTTATTAAAGACTTTATTAAAGTTGACATTATTAAAGTCTGAAGTTGGGGGTATATCAGAATTGGTTGTAATTACATTTCATTTGTCTAAAACGAATCACTGTCCATCGTGAAAAATAAAAATCAAATGTCCTGACATGACTGAATTCATCATTTACATTTCTATTCACAGTAGGTAATAAAGTTGCACATTCTCTCTCCAGCAATGTCACTACATCTGTTGAGGAAACCTCTGGACACGTTACCGGGCTTGGTGACTGTGTGTGTACGTACCAAGTTCACTAGCGAGCACTTCAAACGATACAGACCTCTGAACAGGGACAAATATTGGGGCCGGATCGTCGAGCAAGGTAACTTCTTATACAATATGCATACTATGCATAGTGTGTGCAGTGTGATACATTGTGTGTGATGTTATACAATATGCATAGTATGTTTTGTTTTTACCACTTCATTATGTTATGGATTCGACGAGCATTAGCTGTTTGAAATTAATTAAAGCTATATTCTCAACGTGCTATGAACATTGCACAGGTTGTGATGTGGTAGCTGTTAGGGAGGCGATGTAATTCTACACTCTTGTCCCATACAGTTGTTGTGTGTAATTTTTCAATCCTGACCCTATTAGGCCTTAGTTCTAATGCAATTAGTGTTGGTTTTGCGGGCTTCCTTTACCACAGTGTTCTAGAGTTTCATTAGATTATATTTATAAAACTGTAGAACATTATATTTGATCTGTATAGTTTATCAGCTGTATACTTTTAGTGTGTCAACTCGCAGGAATGCAAATGTCAGCTTTTGCACAGTGATAGTTTGAACTTTGATGCCGGATAATATTGCTCTATAACTTTCATAACCTATTTTTATTTCATAGTGTTATTGCCCTTCTCAGTACGTTGCTATTTAAACACTATGTCAGTTAAATTTATTTTGTCAGGTGAGGGTGTTATACCTGGACGAACTATTGCCAGGACCAGAGGAACTGAGTCGATATGGCCCGGAGCTAATGTACAATTAGAGGTAACGTGCAATTTGTTAATTTAAGTTAATATACCCGTAATAATAATAATTAAATACTGGCCCTAGATCATAGATGGGTTATTTCAATATAATTTGGCACAGTATTGAGTTTAATAACATACTGATTTACTCAGCGTAATCATTGGGAGAATGCGCTGATATCCATGGCTATGGGCCAGGTGAGATACCACAAGGAAGCAGTGAACGGAAGGGAGAGATCCTACGTTAGTGTTGACAGGATCTACCATCCGGAGCCTAGATTTGTTCTGAGTAAAGTTATCCCAAAAGAGGAGAACTTGAAAAGATGAACTTGATCAAATTCTGTAATCTGTTGCAAAACATTTTACTTGGTATATATTTTGTAAATTATTGGTCCATGGTAATTTATTTGGCAGTTTGCGCGATTTTTATGGCCTCATTTGAGTAATACTGTGGTATATGAGTCAGTAATTCCTTTACGACAAGAAAGATAACTTTTTAAAGAAAGATAACGTTTTTAAGTAAAACTGAAATTATCACCACTGCTAAGTAAGGCATACTGATTTTGAACTTTGTTTATTTTGAATCAGTCATTCTTAAATAATTTTGAAATCAATTGTGTGTTCTTTCAGTCTTGGTTGCAGGAGGACGGAGTAACCATCCATTCATGCCGATAATTTAGAATAAGTAATACATTTCCACGTTTTCTACAAGACTTTCTCCTCATTATCTAATATCTATAACTTGTGGTTCTAAATATTCTTGAAATTGCGCTAGATTGATTTAACTCATAAGATCCACTGGATAAGATTTAATAATTTAATGATTGACCAATTCAATTATCAAATACAAAATAATCAATAATTCAATATATGTTCAGGGTATGAAGTTTAAAGAATGAATGTAAGATTTGAGCCTACCCAGCTGCTTAATGTAGATGATCTGCGTTACTGTGAATTTTGCTCGCAAGCCACATTCTCTGATAAAGTTCATGACGATCCATCTTGTATCCTCGATGACTTGAACCTCGTCAGTAGTTCCAACAGCCACACAAAAACCTTGAATTACGGATTCTATCAGTGTTTTTTAAAGAACTGCACCGCACAGGTGAAGGAGTCGACAGACTTCAGCTCACACCTCACAAATCATGGTATTTGGCTGGAAGAAGCCAGATCCAAGTACAGGTACAAATGTGAGAAATGTTCTTATAAAACCACTCAGCAGCGATATCTCGATAACCATAAAGAAACATGCTCTGCAACCGGGGACAGTTCAAGTTCTGAGGACGAATCTAATAAGGCTGGGATAGATATGGCGGACAAGAACAATGAGGCTGACAAGAACAATGAGGCTGAGGCTGGCTCCTGTAGTAATTCTGATTCTAAACTTTTAGATGCTGAGGAGAAGAGTAATTCTTCTCAGTTACCTAAACAGAAGGTAGCAGAGCAGATTCCAAAAGGGCATAACATCCGTCACAGGCATCGCTGTACGGACTGTAACTACAGCACAACCCAGGCAAGGTACTTAGCATCTCATCAAGTTAACTATTGCAGTAAGGATAAAACAGCACAACCTGCTGAAACAACACGTGACAGTACAGTATCTGTACCAGCTAGCTCAACTCCACAAATGAAGGCGCCGCTCAAACTGGAAATGACCAGTCCACCTCTGCCTCGCAAACCCAATGAATTTAAAATGAGACTGGGCAAATCAAACTCTGCTCCACAGTCACCAGACACGAGTGATAATGAAGAAGATCAAGATGGGAACGAAAATGCAGTGCCACAGAGAGTGAATAAAAAACTTGGCGTATCTGGGAGATTAAACTGCTCTAATTGTAATTATTCTACAACACAGGAACGTTATCTAGAGAGACACAACAAGACATGTGCTGGTTCCAACTCAAAGGTGCTGTCTTGTAAGATCTGTTCTTATGATGCCCAAAATCCGTGGACTCTAACGGTCCATATGCAGTCTCACCGTATATCCAATAAAACTCCAGATAAGTTATTGGATGTGAATACAGAGCCTGAACAAGGCAACAATCTTTCAACTGAATCCCCTGGTGTACTCTCTCCAATTGATAATATCAGCAATCTCGAGCTTCATAAATGTACTGATTGTAGCTTCAAGACAAAGAATGTTGCTCTATTTGAACTGCATATTAAATCCTGTATTAGAAACAAGAGAAAACGTGATTCAATTTTTAAACAAAAGAAAGCTCAAGTCCTTTTGAGGCGGGTCATGTTAACCAAAGATCAAGCAAAAGTTGGAAAGTTCAACTGCAATCTCTGTTCTTTTACAAGTACTACCAAGATTTCTGTGAATATGCACAAAATTGCAGATCATTGTAAAAAAGCCAAGAAAAAATTAAGAGAGGCCGAGGAACAATTAACCAAAGAAAAGTGTACGAAATCGTCAAATTATATTGCCCCGAAACTACAATGTTCGTTCTGCCCATACAAAGCTAAGTTTTCTATTATGGTCAAGCATCACGAAAGAAAATGCAGCTCAGCTCTTTACAAGAATTGGAGATGTGGAAAATGTTCAGACGTTCTTGCCACCAGAGAAAAGTTTGATCGACATATCCTGAATTGCAAGTCTGTTTCAGCCAGTACAGAACATGAAAAGCCTCAAAAAATCGAAGAAAGAAGATGTAAAAGGTGCTCTTATCATGCCAACTCGAAAGTTAAATTCGCCATACATCAAAATATGTGTGGAATGCCTGGATTAGAGAATTTTAGATGTAAACAGTGCAATCATCTTTCGCGTTATGTAACTGGGTTCAAACACCACACTGCTAAGTGTAATTTGAAGGCAAGTAACATCCTCAATAAAACTTGCTCAAAATGCCCATACCGTGCATGGACCCAGCTCGGCCTTGCAAGTCACACCAGTATTTGTGGAAAGAACATTTATAATTCGAATAGGTGCCAGAATTGTCATTTCATTGCCAAAACTCCTCATCGTTATCTGAAGCACAAAATGAGCTGCAAGGCGTCTGGTGGGGTTGGCAGAAAGATTACGAAGAAGTGCTTAAAGTGTTCCGGAGTGATACCAATGGCTGCATACCATACGATACACAAACATAGATGTGGTAACCCACTATTTGAGGCATTCAAGTGCTCATATGTAGGCTGCTTTTACATTGGAAAAAGTGATGTTTCCATGAAGGTACACAACGGAAAGATTCACAATGAAGTGGTTGTAGCTAGTGCCAAGCTCAAGGTTAGTCATCCCAGCGTCCCCAATGTTAGCCGACCTGCCATTTCCAAGGGTGTTCGGCACAGTTGTGTGATTTGCCCTTTCTTCAGTAGTAACAAGATTAAAATAGAGAGGCACATGGCTTTATGTCGCGCTAGAAAAAATGGCTGTAAAATAGTTGATGCATGCAAATATTCAGACTGTTTCTTTCTGGCTAAAAATAAAAAAGGCATGAAAACTCACTGCAGAGTTGTTCACAGGGAATCTCCAGAGGCGTCTTCTTGTCCAAAAGTGTCGGTGACTCAGAAACCTAAATCATTAGAAGCGAAGGCAAGCATAAAAAGAGCAAAAATGCTTCGACATAAAAACCGACATAAATGCACATTTTGTCCTTATTCTCGCTGCGATAACAGGCCTGTTATGTCTCATCAAGCCCTGTGTGCCCTCCGTAAAAATGGTGTGAGTGGTATCATTGCTTGTGAATACCCTGACTGTTATTTCTTATCAGAATCTGCTCATGGTTATAATGTACATCTGAAAACGCATCCTGTTGCTGTAACCCCAGATTCTTCTGAGATGATTGATCATGATGTATCTAAAGGCAATGCTCGTTCATTATTGACTCAGAATGTATCTTCATTTAGTGGCTCCAAAAAGAGGCCCAAAAAAATGCATAAAATGGTACGATTCAATTGTGACAAGTGTCCTTATTCTTGTTTATCAAAGATGGCAATTTTAAAACACAAGCTTTTATGTGCCCGCAAATTGAAAGGTGATAAATTAATCAATGCGTGCAGTTACCCTGGTTGTTATTACTTAACAGCCGGAGCCTCAGATAAAGGTATGAAAAGTCACGAGACTAAATACCATCCACAAGCAAATAACAACGATGAACCATGTCAGAATGATGTATTTGAAGAAAATGTGGAACCTGAAGTGCATTGTAATGACACAGAAGGTATCATTGCTTGCGAATACCCTGACTGTTATTTCTTATCAGAATCTGTTCATGGTTATAATGTACATCTGAAAACGCATCCTGTTGCTGTAACCCCAGATTCTTCTGAGATGATTGATCATGATGTATCTAAAGGCAATGCTCGTTCATTATTGACTCAGAATGTATCTTCATTTAGTGGCTCCAAAAAGAGGCCCAAAAAAATGCATAAAATGGTAAGATTCAATTGTGACAAGTGTCCTTATTCTTGTTTATCAAAGATGGCAATTTTGAAACACAAGCTTTTATGTGCCCGCAAATTGAAAGGTGATAAATTAATCAATGCGTGCAGTTACCCTGGTTGTTATTACTTAACAGCCGGAGCCCCACGAGGTATGAAATCTCACGAGGGTAAATACCATCCACAAGAAAATAACAACGATGAACCATGTCAGAATGATGTAGTTGAAGAAAATGTGGAACCTGAAGTGCATTGTAATGACACAGAAGATGCGACAACAAATTCTTCCCAGGTTGCTGTTTGTGATGCCACATCCCTGAAGCATCTCTTCCCCAAACAGGAACCTGTTGAAGAAGATTACTACACGTGTGATAAGTGCTCCTACAAATGCTTCCAATCTGATGTTGCGCAGATCCAGTCCCACAAGGAGCACTGTCGAACTCAACTGTTTGACAAGTTCAAATTGCCCCTTGTCTCCCCGAGCATCAACGAGACAAACCTTGTCAAGTCAAACATTGGAAGGGAAAGTCGAATCAAGATTAATGCTGAAGCTATTCTGCCAAAAACTGAATTGGTTTCCTCTGATGACCAACAACCTTCTCACGATATATCTGATCCTCAATCTGCTCTTCCAACAGCTAAGTCACCCGAACTTGTACCCACCACTCATGTGGAGGGTGAATCATCTCAAGAAAATGAAATTATTGTCTCTAACCCATCCGAGCCTGCGGATTCAGTGGATAATATCTTTGACTCTGATGAACTTGATGACTTAGACTTGTGCCTCGATTCAGAATACTTCATATGATTAGTTTTTAGTTAAACAGGTTAATAAGCCGTATTTTCATGCCTAAAGTAGGTACACGGGTTGACATTGAATTGTTTGCAGGGACTCGCACATTTGTTCGTTTTTAACATATCGAGAATATTATTATATTAGACTACTTTAATTCATAGTCATAAATTATTAGATTAGACTACTTTAATTCATAGTCATAAATTATCAGACAATTAAACCGTATTACAAATTACAATGATTAATCATGGCGACTGTGTTCAAGTTAACCGTGGTATTACCATATATTGTTATTAGGCATGAAAGTGCTGCGTGGCGTAAGTGTGATTCAAAATACAACTGTATGTACCTCAATACTCTCAAACACTTTCGTGGCGCAGCGACTGTGTAACTTAGTAATAAATGTTAGTTCATCATGTTAAGATAATTTTTATAACTGGATATTTTCTTTGACATTATTTTACCTGCACGAATGTATGTATTAAAAGTTCACTACTTTTATTTGTATCCATGATATTTCTGTTGCCTGATTTTTAACTGACATGGCAAGACTTCTCGTCTGCTCCTGAAGATCTTCCCTGATTTCACCTGGTAATTTTCGTTCAATATATTGATTTTTGTTTGACGAACTTCGTGAACCATAATGATATGTAATATCCACAACATTTAAAATCTGATTTTTATTTTCATATTTCTAGATTAAATTTATAACTTGAATCGATTAATTTTATTGTTTATGTAGTTATTAACTGCTAGTTAACCATGTTCTATTAATAACTTATGAGTTTTAAAGAATTTGCTGTTTTTTTGCTTCTTGTTGGTTAATAATATGTTAGAAGCTGGTTGCTTTAAACCCTTTAAATCACACATGGACCTCTCAACTAGGATTATAATTAATATAGTTCTTCACCACTATCCCTAATATTTGATATTATGATAACATTATTTATCAATATTTATTATTTTATCAAAATATTAACGAGATCTCATGCTTTTGTAGCAGAGTTAGAAATGCCGAAAGTGCAGAAAGAGCGCCAAGCGGCAGCGCAACGCAAGGGTAAGACCACTCAACAAGCTGTTAGACAAAGCATAACATTCAACAAAGACTTTGGACAGCATATCCTTCGGGTAACTCCAGAAGCTTGGCTTCGTTTTTGTTCGTTTAAGTTTTTACTGACAGAAAAATGTGGAATATTACAAAACCAGCTTACATTTCTGTTGATACCATACAAAGTGTTCGACAATGAGTGTAATTCCGATGGTGATAATTTCAGAATCCAATGGTGGTACAAAGTATAGTGGATAAAGCAGGTATCAAAAGTTCAGACGTTGTCATGGAGATTGGACCTGGTACAGGAAACTTGACCGCTAAACTTTTGGAGAAGGCAAAAAAGGTAAATTGTGACTTTGAATCGAAATTTTAATTGTCTTTACCATTCCATTAATACTTTTCAGTGGGAAGATGAACGAAAGTAATCTCTTTATTAGTGATCACTTATGGTAATTTCAGGTGATAGCATTTGAAATAGATCCGAGGATGGTTGCAGAACTCCGGAAACGCTTCATGGGAACACCATACATGAGCAAGCTTGAAATAGTGGTCGGAGATTGTATCAAATCAGAGTTCCCGGACTTTGATGTATGTGTTGCCAACATGCCATATCAGATATCTTCACCTTTCGTCTTCAAACTTCTGCTTCATAGGAAGTTCAGATGTGCAGTTCTTATGTTTCAGAAAGAGGTAAACTCAAAATCATCTTGGGATGTTAGAAATAGTTATACGAATTCAAAGATCAATTTTTTACATATCAGAAAATTTAATCATAATAATTTATATTGTCCTCTCGTGACGATGAAAATGATATTTTTGTTTTCAGTTTGCAGAGAGATTATACGCAAAGCCCGGAGATAAGCTTTACTGCAGGCTATCAGCTAACACCCAACTTATGGCCAGAGTTGCGCACGTGCTTAAAGTTGGAAAAAACAACTTCAAACCTCCACCTAAGGTAACGTTATTATATTTTCATGAATTTTTGTTGTGGTTTTAAAACTTGATCTACCCTTATTTCGTGGTTATTAAACTGTATTCTACCCTCTTTCATACACATGTTAATTTAAACCGTTTCAGGTTGATTCAAGTGTTGTAAGAATCGAGCCCTTGAACCCAATGCCAAACATAAACTTTGTGGAATGGGACGGACTCACTAGAATCCTTTTCACTCGTAAAAACAAAACTCTATCAGCGATCTTCAAATCTAAAGCAGTTATCGAACTTCTTACAAAGAACTATCAGATTTATTGTAGCCTGAACGAGGTCATGGTTCCAGAGGACTTCGATATAAAGAAAAAGATTGAAGCAATATTAGTGGAATGCGACTTCAGTATCACACGTTCGAGAACAATGTCAAATGACCAGTTTTTACAACTTTTGGAACGTTTTAACGCTAATGATATTCATTTCTCATCTTAATTTTGTTATAACAGGGAAAATAAAGAGTCAGCATATTCCTTTTTAATCTCCTTAATGGACATCTTTAGCGGTTACATTTTATAGGGTTTCATGTATCCAGGTCTCAGATTTGGGGTTCATTCTCTTTATTTATTGACCAGTTTTTGTTACGAGTTTCCGTTGAAGTGGTAAGTTATTCGTTTTAAATTCACTATTTTCCTGTGTAGTACGGTGGTGGAATAATCAGCAACAATCTTACATCCACGGAAGCGTGTAACACGTTTTAAGTGGGCCGGTCGCAGTACAATCCACATATTTGGAAGGAGTAGTGTTTAATAGATTAACATTGAAGCGCAAGAAATCTTATTTCCACTCTGCGTCGCATTCGTAAGTACGTGCGGCCGGGTGTATGTAGTCCCATTTGCATTGGCCTATCGCACGTACGCAAGTTCTGTGTGTTGACACATCCAGGGCCAGGGGGGGCTATGCTTAGAGTTAATGGCTCTAAACAAATGCCTTATTGTTCCTTAAAACCGTGTAGCTAGACAGCCTTCTTCGGAGATCAGTTTCACCGTAAATAAGGTACATAATTCACCTTGAAGCCAAGAATAACCGTCCGCTATGTCATGTTTGGCGTTTAGTTTGAAGTTAAAGTGGCTGTTGAAACTTGAAGACCACGCCCCGAATTTCAGAATTTCAGAGATCCCAAGAGGTTGATCATAAAAGTTCGATCTAAATACACTAGCGTTATGGCCGCTAATACCATTTCCTTACAGATTAGTTCAGTACCGAAAAGTAACAAGATAAACTAAATCTTCTTATGTCCTTGAATAGATTCTACATAATAAACCTTTCTACCGTAATTTAATTAATACTCAAATATCTCTGTCCAACAACTCGTTAAATACAACTAAACATCGTTCTAAAACACAAAACTTTATAAAAAAGGGTCAACAAATTAAAAACTACGCTAACACCATGCATAAATCACAACAATACTTCAATAAACACCACCCTGGTTACCACCACCCCCACCCCGGCTATAACCACCCCAGCTCCCTCCCCGGTTTGCTCGATTGTTCTGGAAACCACCACGTCTGTTACCACCTTGGTTCGGCTGCTGTCCCGGATTCTGCTGGTCGTTCTGGGGTTGTCCCGGATTGTTCATTCGATCATGATACCCTTTGTTCTGATGGTACCCCTGCTGTCTGTTCTGATTAGTTTGTTGCTGATATCGATTACCACGCGATGCTTGTGATTGACCCCCGCGTGTTTGCTGGTAATGATAACCTCCTCCACGTCCCCTCTTATTCTTGTCTTTCTGCCAAGATGGTATTTCTGGTTCTGGTCGCTGTTCTAAAGGTCTTCCACCTCTATCAGGAACCTGAAACAAAGATTCAAGATTATACATATTCACTTGCGGTTAATTTTCACATTATTAAAGTAAATGATGGTAAATAAACAGTGTTCAGAGTTGACAGTATTTCAAAACAGTGTCCAAGGCGAGTGAATGACACACACACAGGGCTAGTGTAATGATGCAGTAACACCCGGACATATCACTTTCGCAGCATCGACGACAGTTTACCGGGTGAATTTACACTCAGAACCCATGCTACACGTCGGAATTTTCTCGAATTCATTCGGCTCAGGGCTTTCTCTTGAGCATATATAGCTTAGGTGAATGGACAACAAATCAAACGCGCAGATACGCGCGCCAAAATCTGGGTAGATTGCTGAAAGCTTGAGATCTTTGTATCGCAAAATTACTACATTTTGCTAGTAGCGAGGGCAAGCTTGCACTTTTGTCCCATGTTATGTCCGGACTCCTGATTGGTGCATGCCGTTTAAAATGTAAGATTTCTTACCTGTCCCACAATGACCATCTTGTTGAGCTTGGTCTTGGTGTTATCCCTCACTGAACCGCTACTCGTCTTAGGAATGCATGCTAAATCCACTCTAGCAGCTAAAACGTCTGCCACCCCAAGGTTAGCAGAGTCTTTCATAATCCGCCTTTGCAAGTTATAAACTTTGTCCAGCGTCTCAGCTTTATCCTGGAGAAAGAACGTCAACGATTGATAGTTTACAATTCATCAAAACCGCCAAATAGGTAAAGTTTGGTGATTAAGTGGTCCCAAAATTAATATTGAGTGCGTACAGAAATAGGAGTATCAATAATACCTTATTCTTTCCCCATTTGAACGAAGATAAAGTCAAGTCCAGCCTCTTGAGTAAAGTTTTGAATCTTATCGTGTATTCTTCGTTCAAAACATGGCTGACTTCCTCAAACTTTTGCCATTCCTCTGGTTTCAGGGATAACTTCAGAATAGGATCAGAGAGTAGACCATTCACAGTTTCTCCATTTCTATTAGCAATTTCATTTATCTTGTGTATTATAGTTTCAAAAATGTCAGGTATTTCGTCCTCAGGACCAGGTGACTGTAGACTGAGAGTACTGTAAATAGTTGCCAGATCTTGGAGGGCAGGGTGACCAGAGAAACAACCCTTATCTGTATTTATCTGCAGAAGTTTTTAAATGAGCCAAATTTACTTATTTGTTTGACAAGATCCAACATGAAATAATAGCGACGACCTTTAAAAAATCCCCGAATGCTTGAGTACCTGAGCAGCAAATTGAAGACCCGGAAAAAACCGGAGTGTACCTGCTTAGTTTTGGTATGAGAAGCGGCCGCGAGTCTAACAGACATCAGCTCATGTACAAGGTAGTGCAGGACTGCAGTACGATTGTTGGGATCAGTCAGTGAGTCTGCTCCTCCTATACCAGGAACTGGACATCCTAACTCAATTACAACCGTACTCAGTTCAACTCTAGAGGATAGTAGTATTCATGAGTTGTCCCGTGATTTAAACAGACGTGCATGAGTCATGGAGAAAAAGTTAAACAAAGAAATCTCAACAACAAACTGATCATGTGTTAGTTGTGATATGAAATGTTGTTGAGGATGCTTATTTACAACTTTTAAAATGAGAGTTTAATTTGTACCTGAAAAGTGGCTCTTCATCAGGCGACTGAGGAATAGAGACCGGCTCCACATGCCCCTTCATCTGATAACACAACCACACCACAACCTTGGTATACATGTTACTACAAGCCTTGCCACCCAGCATACCCTTCAGAGCCCCACTATTCGGGGGTTGGAAGGGACAGTTGACCTGCTGGAGCCCTTCTGTTATGTCGTCAAATAGAAGAGCAGCCATGGTGGGGTGTACTATAGAGGGTACAGGGGTTTAGGGACCCTGAAATAATGGGCTGCAAATAGAAACATGTTTGGGGAGATGTGAGTGTGTGGGAATCTTTTGAATTTCAAAAATAAACACGGATTTTTATTGACGATGGGATTTGCTTCGGCGCAGGAACAGGGTTTCAGTTATATTATTATAGATCGTTGCTTGAAAGTTGAAAAGAACTGACAAAGTAATACTACTGTTTCAAAAGTTCAAAATAATCAAAACATATCAAATGGTCAATAAATAGAGAATAAGTTAAATGATAGTTAAAAACATCTCTGCTTTTGGCAGTTGACACCGTGCTTTTAAAGCACGGTGCTTTGATTCATTAGCCCCCATTTCAGTCAAACACTGCCAATATAAAGCCAGGCTACATAAATTAAAAGCAACGCCACTGGCATTGTGGTTCTGTCTAAAAATAAAAACCTAAAAAAGTCTAAACAACTTGATCATATGTCTCTTATATATTCGATCACGTGTGACTAAATATCTGATCACGTGTCTCAATTGCGAAGACACATCATCAGTGTCTGGCAGAATCAGGTCGGGGCACGTGGGGCTCGTCATTATTGCCCATAGTAACGTAAATAGGTTCCACGCTAACTCCAGGTATAATGGGGTTCACAAGCTTCATCCTCAGTTTCTTGTGCTGAATGTTGCAGTCTTCCACCGAGATCTGGAGATAATTTCTGTGATTACCCCACGTGATGGACACGAGCACACCAACAATGCGTGGTGTGATGATATTGATTACATTCACATGCAGTATGGTAGTATTGAGATGTAAGAACTAATAATGTTTTCAATGTCATTCCGAATTAACACGTACGCTGCCGTTGTAGAGCTTTTCAGCCAAAAATTCCAAAAATGGCAGTCTCTAGAAAAGGAACTACAAGTTTAAAACCCCAGGTTTAGCAACATACCTGAACTATAACTCTGTCGAACATTTGTAAGGTAACTCTGCCCACTGTCAATTTACACTTATCTTCTTCGTACACAAATTCAACCTTTGAATCCACTGCCTTCAGAAATATGGTGCTTTCTAACCCGTACCTGATAAATTGTAATGATCGTTTAGGGGCATTTACTGCTAATTGGGTAAAACTACACTAATCAATTAGCATATTAACATACACCACTCCAGCTCCCCTTACACAGATTACACGTTTCTATCAACACTGCTGACAAGACATGTCCAACTAATTGTTGTTAGTCAGGTCATGCATACATTTTACTGGGAATTCTAGAGTCTTCTCCCGCCAATATATTAAGACCATGGTCTAAGTTCATGACATGTGACAAAATATTTGTCACGTTACACTTGTTAGTAATATGCAGTGGCATTGCATATAAGAATTATACAGAACGTTCGAGAATACTACATATATATTATATAATACGCCGAACACTAGTTTTAAAACCCGTGTACCTTCTAACGAGTACGACGACAGCGTTTCTCCGTACGAAGAGAATGTACGCGTCCTCGTCCATACATTTGTCCTTGAAGTAGAGTTGTGTATGGAGAGCGATGGAAGCTCGCTGTACTAGTTGAGCTTGGTGATGACGGTAGTTCATGTTCTCGCACCATTCGTGTACCTGTGGGAGAATACACGTTCAGTTTGATAAATCCATAGAAGCTAAAATGAGTTAAAGCCATTGAAGCTAAAACGAGATGAGCATATTTAATCAAGTCGAATCAAGTACAGTATCGAATGTTGTAAAAATTGTAAGGAAATCCGTGCACCAAGCTACACACAGCATTCCACACATTCCCATTGCTACAACCCCAGTAATCCCCAGTTTTACACCTACAATGTTTCTGTCCAGCAGCTCAGTATAAGTCTTGTCCTGCCCAACACTTGCAGCGAGGAGTCTGTGGACGAGGAGATCAGGATATCGTCTGATTGGAGAGGTGAAGTGGGTGTACATTGGTACTGCCAGACCGTAATGGAAATATTCCTCTTCAGGCAACATTCCTGGGGCGTAAAACGTTAGTAAATCACGTACAATTTACATTTGCAGGATGGAGATAAAATCACGTACAATAAAATCACGTACAATAAAATCACATACGAATCCAATTCGTGTATTTTGAACATTTTACCTAATAATAAAGGAAAATGTTTTAGCTCGTACCTGAGCAGAAGTAGACAGCCTGCATCATGCACCTTGTACTGACAATCCTCAGAAGAATATTGAAGAAAGGATCGCCCGGAATGTTTGCATTCTCCAGCGAGTATGCTAGTTCAGCGTTTGTGCTACACTTCACTTGGATCCCCTTCACCGCTGCTGCATTGACCAGCAAGTCGAAGTTTGTCAGGGGTGGTGAGGGATGGCGACGCAGGACGGCACACTGGGGGAACTCCTTCTCAATGTGTCGCGCGACTTCGCAGTTCGCTAACAACATGAACTCCTCGATCAAAGAATTTGTTTCTTTCAGTTCTTTTGTTTCGATACCGATAGGATCGTGTGTTTCACTGTCAATGTGAAATCGCACCTGGTTAAGAGAGGTGTGAGAATTTCACAAATAATTATCTCACAAATAATAAGCTCACAAATAATAAACATGTTACTAAAGTACTAAATTGTGTTTTAGATTGAGAAATGTTAGAAATATTAGTCCCACATACCTCAGGTGAAGCAAGAGTTAAAGCTCCAGCCTCAATCCTTCTCTGTTTCAGCTTCTTAGCCAGCTCATTGAGCCCTCTCAGTCCCTCCGAGAGTGGATCTGTCCTACTCTTATCATCTATCAGTATCTGAGCCTCCATGTAGGTTAGAGCTGCTACTGATCTGATCACTGTCTTACAGAATCTCCTGCTCACTATTTCCCCTTCTCTGGAAAGTAACTGATGTTAGATTTTACAGTATGTAGTATTACACATGCACAAGTAGAAATTATGGTTACAAGTTGCAACTATGGTCACAACTTACAAGTACCAACTATGGTTACAAGTAGCAACTATGTTTACTTATCTTGCTTGCAGCTGATGCAGTCTAGACTGACTAGGCTATTACATTAGCTAGGCTCTGGAATGATCGCGATTTAACATTTAAACAGGCAGCATGGCTCAACAAAATGCACACAGAGATCTAGACGTTTCCTGCCACATCTTGCTTATTAACACATTTTACTGAGTTAATGTGTTATCTCGCTGCATCGTGCATGCAGTGTTTACACTTTACTAAACGTGACAGGTGGCTCACATCTTTGTACAAATATTTATCTAGAACAAAAAATAACATACAACATACACTCGTCAGTAACAAGGACAATAATGCCATATTTGGTCTTATAACCTTACAATTAGTTCCCGAATAGTAAAATGACATACCAAGCTCGGCGAGCTATACGGTATAATGATGCCTGTAAATGGTTAGCGAGCTAAGAAATGAATCAGAGGAAACCAAACCCATTGGGCTACACAGTCACATGGGTACAAAGAGACAATTGTGACCTAATTACATCGGACACACCGGACTAGGTGAGTAACCATGTTAATGGTTTTGTAAGAGGTAAGGATGTATGTAGAACAATTTTAACACAGCTGCTAGATGTACGATGCTTGCAGGAGACTAGTATATTACAGAAATAGATATTAAAATACTAATTATTTAATAGATATTAAAATACTAATTATTTAATAGATATTAAAATACTAATTATTTAATAGATATTACAATACTAATTATTTAATAGATATTACAATACTAATTATTTAATAGATATTACAATACTAATTATTTAATAGATATTACAATACTAATTATTTAATAGATATTAAAATACTAATTATTTAATAGATATTAAAATACTAATTATTTAATAGATATTAAAATACTAATTATTTAATAGATATTACAATACTAATTATTTAATAGATATTACAATACTAATTATTTAATAGATATTAAAATACTAATTATTTAATAGATATTACAATACTAATTATTTAATAGATATTAAAATACTAATTATTTAATAGATATTACAATACTAATTATTTAATAGATATTAAAATACTAATTATTTAATAGATATTACAATACTAATTATTTAATAGATATTAAAATACTAATTATTTAATAGATATTACAATACTAATTATTTAATAGATATTAAAATACTAATTATTTAATAGATATTACAATACTAATTATTTAATAGATATTAAAATACTAATTATTTAATAGATATTACAATACTAAATAACTAACTTGGTCATCTCCCAGATGCCGCTGAAAGCAAGTCTGTCCTCGTTAGCCCTCAAAGAACAGAGATTAGAACTTAGTACCTCAGGTACCATGTCGATTCTCTTATCGCACAGATACACACTGGTTCCACGTTTCTGGGCCTCTAGATCCAAGGCAGTTCCTGGTCGGACAAAGTAACTCAAATCTGCGATGTGGACTCCAACCTGAAGGATGAGATTTGTAAATCGCATGATATCCAGTATTTCTCGGTGGGCCCTAAATTCTATTAACCAAACAATACCGCGTGTGTAGCTTTTAGCATTCATTGATGTAACGATAATCTAATTATTCGGTGGATAATCACATTCCAGGAGGAACGAGACACATTTCTCGAATATTCCAAAAAGTTATTTTAATAATTACCTGGCAGTTTCCGTTCGGTAAAGGTTTGTAATGTAAAGCATCGTCGATATCAGTACAGCCGGGCGGATCCACACTGCACACAGTTGTGTTTCTCAGATCTTGCCGGAGCACAAACTCGTAGTCAGGAATAGACCATGGCAACTTTGGAAGACAGTCCAGCACTGATTTACTGGGGGTAATCAAATTTCAGGTTTCTTGATAACAACTGGCTGCTGGCAGCATGATAATCAGATATGTGGGTCCGAGTTACGGGTAATTAATTAAAATGCAGGCACACGGGAAGATAACACACAAGATATCTTGCAATAAATCAAGTTGACGTATCGAATTCTAGCTGGAGAGGTTGTGCCCAAAAACAAAGTATCACCATACCTGAATGGTAGATGAGGAACATCGTGTTCTAACAATAACACCTCCTCCTCAGTATCCCTGTCTCCCATGGGTCCTATATCTCTGATGAAATGACCTAATGGGTACCGTGAGGATCGGGGCCAGCAGTCCACACTGACTATAATCCTGTGTGACATCAGTACATCTGCTTGTCTGGTCTCTATTCGTATCCTCGGGATCCTCTTCTCTGATGGGATGAAGATGTGTCTGGTTTTCTCCGTGTTTACAGTTGGAAGCAACACTCCGCAATAGTTCCTCCAGTTTCGTTTGATGATGCCGATAACGCGTCCAGTGGGTCTCACGTAGATGCTGCTCTCGGAGGTTCCCTCAGCCATGGTGTTCATGTCTTCTTCATCGTCTACCTTCTCGTCAAGCTGGACTGTTCCGCTGGAACCAACCTGGAGGAAGTGAAGATGTTATATTTCCTGCTTGGGTGTGAGGATGGTAATATCCATGATATCCAGTAAGAATGGGAATTATATTATTGGTTCAGTAATGCTCTTAATGTAACAATACAGTACACTAACGGTACACTAAACACAATTATCTCATTTTACTTTCCATGCGGTGTGACATTCAAACGAGTTCAAATTAGAAACCATTAACACACAGCAGTGAATTGAATATTAAATATTCAATTTACTAACCCACTGATTTTTAGGGAATACTTCAATAGCGACAACATCTTCATGAACAGCTCTGTTTAGATTCTTGAGTCCACGTATGATAACCTGTTTGTCGTACGCTGTACACGATACAAATCCTTCTAGATAATTCTCACGGGACGCCTCGAACTTTCCTTGATGATACCTGGAGTGTTGAGTTTTAGAGATAAACTATTAGAACAACCAGTTCTTTCAATACTTACCTCATTATCAGTAATGGTAGGTACAGGAGTGCGGAACAAGAAATAACAATCACCGCCGCACACATATTATGTGGTAGTAATTATGTAATATGTTAACGATCGTCAAGTAGCTGATAAAAAGTTCACATACCGGTTGCTCTTAACTCCCATCTTTATGTCGTATAAAGAGAGATGCTCGTCGAACATCACCTTCTTATCGTGTACAGTGGACGTCTTGTCACCTTTCTCTTGGACTGACAGGTGATCTATTAAGTTCTCACATCCTTTCAGACTCTTCACGTAATCCATCACCTGTGATAAGAAGCTCATCAGGACTCGGTTGGATCGCTTTAATTGATAACTCTTATTTATGACTGTAAGTAGGCCAAAAATAAAACTGAATGATGCATGAAAAATTCTGAGGTGAAATCATAATGATCCATTTAAAGATGTGCAGTGCGAAAGATAACATACCTGATAAGACTTAAGCCCAGCTTTGATGGCCTTATCTCTGTTATCATTATCATTCGTAAGAAGCACGATATCTACATCCAAATGTTTCAGATGTTCTTCATACCACGCTGCAGCTACTCTGATAGCTCTGTCGTTCCTGTCGTTGCAGGACTCGTTAGGTTCACGATCTATGTAAGTAGCACGGTGATGTTCGTTACATAACACGAAGAATCGTTTGGAGTTGTTCTCGATTATCGTTCGGATTCTCTTGTACAGTGAATCGTTGAGATGCCTCACCTAGAATTACAAAGTGATAAGTCATATAAATTATACAGATTTGAAAGTTTTAATCGGGGCCAATCAAGTTTGGTAATCCCGGTATTACACTTAAATCGATTATTGAGAGTTATTAATTCAATTAGATCATCTCTGATGAATGAGTTCCCTCGTATTACTTCATTAGGAATTTAGCAAAGATAATTGGTTATTTACCTCTTGGAGGACAGTTTGAAGGACGATTACATCAGTGATGTTGTGATCTTCTAGGAAATCTATCTGAAAACAAGGTAATCAGCGTCTGAGACTAACAAAAACTTCTTTGAACGAAAAAAACGTTTAAAGTTTTCATACGAAGACAAGAATGAGCGATTAAAAGATTTGTTCTGACTTAAGTAAACCGACGAATCGCAGTAGAAATTACCTGATGTAGGGCTACATTGGTATCAATAACCAGGTAGTGAGGTTTAGGTACAATAGAAGACTCAGCATTCTGCTTTACACACAACTTGGCAGGGGACAAATTAGGGCAAACGCCACAGAGCAAACTTCCACAGGACAGATCATCTCGCAGGTAGTGCTCTCGTACTACTTTTATAATATTCCCCCTCTTCGTTTTCTTAACAAATGTCTTAGCTTTCAGCATCTTAGAAGGGTATAATGAGCACGTGTAACTCTGGCTCTGTGATCCTTGGCTACATATGGTCGGCTTCCGATGTGAGCTGAATAGTTAGTTAGACTGCAATTAGGAGTGGTGTAATTAAGTAAATATAATACATGTCAGGGAGTGTATTGTAACATTTGGGTGTACAACAGGATGTTCCCCACACTCGTTATAATAATGTCGTCAATTTCCCGTACATCTGATTAATATGGTGCACTTTACTTTGGGGAGAGCTGCTGTTTGTCAACTTTTGGTATTTGTAAATGAGAAACGAAACAAGGTCCTTCTAAATAGCGGCTAATGCCTACAAAGTAATTTAGAAATTACATGTGTATTAACTTTAACATCTCATAAAATTGAGAACCTGCTCATCTTGTAGTCATTATATATCATCCTAGATAAATGGAAACTAGTACAAATAAAGCTTCTCCATTGCTAGACTGGTATATTAGTGCCTTAGCAGCTAGTTGCTCTTAGATAACGATGTTCAAATAAATTTATTTATTATGGAAACCCTGCCAAACTACAAATTAACCAACAACAAATAAAATATCGTACGGACTTGAATCGCCAGAAATCCAACAATATTTACAAATCACATTTATCAATAATATCTGAAACGTTCTAGTCCATCCTTGCCTTGAGCTCCCTTTTGGTAATTTTATTGGCCTCAATAATGTACACAACACCACCCCATCCACTGTATGCGTCTCTGTCTTGAGCATTTAGGAGACATTGGGAAATAGTTTCGAACAGTTGATCTGGTTCCATTTCTGGCTTGTAGAGAGTCTCACACATACCATACAGCTGTTCCAGACAAGTTCCAGCGACTACGAAATCGTTAGTTACCATCGGACATCCTATCAGATCAGTTGAAGCGATGAATGGTTCGTTTTTTTCGTCAAGTCCAGCGATAACTGGTTCAATAAAATAGGGACCAAATCTACGTTGGTAGAGGAAATTTGAGACCATACTGAGGAAGGTTTTAGGACTGAGTTCTCTGTCTTCCGATAAACTGTAGAGATTTGTGTGGAATTTCAGTTCGTTAGCAAAGGTCATGACGTCTGTGGCCAATCCAGGCAGACCAATAAATAGTTTCTTGCCCATGGGGAATATCTTCTGAAAGTCGCAAGATACAGTCTGAAATCGAATACCAAGTCTTTTGTCTGCTGCGATAGCCACGCAGTTCTTGCCTTTCATGGCAACCACGGAGGCACCATTGTATTCTAAAATAGACATGATACCTGTAAAATAGGGTGTTAGAATGTTAAACTATCATATCCAGAAAATTCGAACAGGGTCGCTTAGAAGATTTTAAATGTGGGAAATGTATAATCAAGACCGATCAAGAGTGATCGAAATTTCATTGAATTAAATTACGTTGAATTAAGTGACTGTAATTGTTTTAACATCATAATGAATCAAAGTTACTCCCTCTTAGTAAAACAAAATAATTAATAACGAATTTCAGTTGTGTCGATGAATATTAAACAATTATTAAGTTCGACTATGTATTAATAAAAGAATAAATTACAGCTCACACTGCCATACATCATCGCTCTTAAACGTCTAGAAATACTTGAGAAACAAACAAGCAGTGTACACTTAACAACCGAAAAGTAGTCAGAGCAGAGCTGTGCAAGGTAAATTGAAAAATATTTTCTATAGAAAACAAAATTAACGAGAAACAGTTGCAATCTGTGTCAATTTATTTTAAAGCAGTTATGTTCAACGCTTTTAAGTGCAGCCAATTTTTGGCAAAATCTGATAAAGTTCAATAAGTTCAACTCTTCTGTTTGAAACTGCTGGGTGCAGCTGACCTAGGAACTTGACCCAGGTTCTTGAGCGCAGGAGGTTGAGCAATTCCGAGGATCTTATAGAGTTGGTTGTAGACCATGAGTCTGAGAGCATACTGCGCACTGGCGGTCAAATCCTCACGCTCCTGGTTAGTCAAGTAGGCCAGAACGTCAACTGACTCCTTCTCACAAGGGTCGTTCAGTCCAGGGCTGTTCAACAACAGGAATCCTGAAGCAAAGAGCTCAAAGACTCTCCGCAGGACCTCTGGAGGAGAGAACTGTGGGGGTTGGCTTGAGTAACCCTTAGTTCGGGCACATCTCTCCACTAGGAGTTCCAGTGACCAAGTTGATAGAGGACTCCACGCGGGAATACGTTTACTGAGATCTTTAAGCAGCTGAAGGACAACAATCAGACTGACAGACATGCGGGATTCAAACCATTTAGTTTGACGAAGCAGGCCTAAGACATCGAGACAAGCCTTTCTTTCTAAAACTCTGCTGGATTTCTCTTCAGCTAGAATGCTCTCGTTGACTTCCTCTTCTCTGAACACAGCGGACGTTATGCTTATCTTCACCTCCACAGCAACTGGTTCAGTTCTCTTGACAAATATGGTTACTTGGGAGATGTCACTAGCCAGCACAACATCTAAAGCATCTTCTGTTTCAGCAAACTTCATTTTTAATTTCATAAAAATCTTCTCAAAGAATTCGATGGAGGGCTTTTTGACACAGAATACTGCTAGAACACCCTCAATCTTGGACTTCATGATGGAATGTTTTGGAAGGTCCCCAATTCTGATACAGCTTTTGATGACCAAATGATCATCTTCAATTATGGCTGGGACCGCAGCGATGGTCTCCTCGGCATCCATATTTTCCTCAGTCTCTGCACCAGTTGTTTCTGTTGCTTCTGGATCTGAATTTTCAACTTCTGGAGCTAACTCTTCACCTTCTGGAGCCGGAGCTGGTTCTGATTCAACAGTGTCGTCTGCTGCAGTATTTTTAGCTTTCCAAGCTTTATACTCAGGTGTTTGCATGTGTTCTTCATCAAGCTCTTCTGATATAAGTTCTATAGTGTCCTCAGTCAGTTTCATAAGCTTTTCCAGTTCAGCAATCTCTGTTTTACTAGGCTGCAACTGGCTATGTTTGGTGTGGATCAAGTTAGCATCGTGGTTGTTGAGAAGCTTTCTGGAGTTATCCCGAGCAGGTGGTGGTGGTGGAGGACGGGGGCGAGGGGGTGGTGGAGGTGGAGCTATTCCCAGTCTCTCACATCTCTGTCTTTCTTGTATGTACCATTGTCGGTGCTCCTCCTCTTGTCGTTTTATGCCTTCAATGTAGCGATACCATCTCTCTTCCTCCCGGTACTGGCTCCACTCTGATTCTAGTTGTCGCTGTTCGGCCTCCCAAATCTGAAATGAAATGGGCGTTTATTTCAATGATTAGTACGTGTTTACAACAACTTATGACTTATGATAAGGGCCGAAAAGTGGGATATAATATTTACAAATCTGTAGTGATGTTGCTACATGTAACTTGTGTTGTAAATTATGTAACTTATTTGTTTTGAAGAATTTGGTGCATACTGCAATAGCCACTTGTGTTTTGCTTTACAAGTAGCAACATCAATGTAAACTTTCTTAAAGTTGGTCGGAATATAACTAGAAATCCTAGAATTCTTAAATGAATATGTTTTAGAACCGAAAAATTAGGTACATGAGCAGCAGGTTACGTAGTATTAATAAAACCTTGAATTCACTATCTAATCTGGATGTTTTAGCCTCTTTACGAGATATCCTCTTTTTAGCAGCTAGCAGGCAGCTTTTCAGTCGTTTACTGGGCTGCATTTCAACAAACATTTCAGGATCGTATTTCTGTTTGTAAGCAAGTCTATGTCTTCTGCCCTTAACGTGGAGTGCTCTTGAATTAAGGTCTGTTATCTCACAGTCACATAGCGTGCAGCGATAGGACACTCCGCTACTGGATGTTACCGTTTCCATCAGTTCCTCTCCAACTACCATGCTATCAGAACTTTGGAAGCTTGAATTTGGAAGTAAGTTATCGTTCACTGGCATGTTTTGTTTCTGACGTTCATTGACCTTTTTTAAATGTCTGTTTCCGTTAACATGGCTGTTAAATGAATCTAAACTTGTGCACTCGACTGAACAAAGTTCACAATTCCACGGTTGTTTCGATGAAGCAGAATCACGACTGAGGTGAGCAACTTTTCTTTTGTGAAGAGCTCCAGAAAAGTGGCTATAAACGGAAGCTTTAGTCGCACAAGTAACTTTACAAATGTCACAAAACTCGGGGGTAGGCTTTTGTCTCACTCTTTTGCCACGGTCATGAGTGTAAGATTCTAGATTTGATTCAGCAGTCAGGGGTATTTCTGGCTGAGCAATTATAACGGCATTGTTAGGGGTAACAATAGAATCGACAATAGAGACTTGCAGAGGATTGTAGATTGCACCAACGATAGGAGATGCGGTCACGTAACCAGGTGAAGTGTATGTCACATCTACAGTAGCTGACCCAACAGGTCTGTCAATGTAGAGGGCAGGACTGGCCACGTAGGTGCTGTAACTTGAGGTGTGGGCTCCATACGAGGTATTGTAGGTAGAGATTACAGTTTCAACAGGAGCTTCAACAGGAGGGATCGCGTTTTGTATTAGGGTAGCTGGCCCCCAGTATGGAGCGTAAGACATTAACCTATAGATTAGGGTTTCACAATTTGTGGATATCAAAATGAGTTAGATTTGTGGATATTTGTGGATAAACCAGAGTCGAGGGTGGCCGAAAAGTTGTGACACGCATATTTGGATATCTAGCTCTACTATCATTAACATTTAACAACTAACAAATCTTTGTGATCTGAGAATTTTGTAATTATCTAGATCGTCTTCACATATTCGAATTTCAAGAGTTTTTAAAAAACATTGCCCTTTCGATTTTTGTTATTCAGATATAATATGGCGTGTAAGCTAGTGCTGCAAGTTTCAGTGCCTAAAAAATTACTGAATGTTCGATATCATTGCAATTAGGATATTGGAGGATGGCTAAAGCATCGTGCCTGTCAGGCTTTACTTACGTTTCAGGCTTTACTTACGGTTAATGTGTTAAACTGGCTATAATATGACAACAGACAGCCCTATTTTTAGGAATTTGGTCACAACTTTTGGGCCCCAGAATATGACGAAAAATATTATTAGTGATAAATGATCCCAACAAGATTTTTAATTTTCGAACTTGACAGCTCTTAAAAACGAATTACCTTAATAGACGAAATGAGCTTTTTGAACTTATTAAGATACAATGATGAGATAACGAACTTAGCATAAAATTAAAAAGGAGACAATATTCGAATTATAGGAATAATACTGATTGGTTTGGCTAACCTCTTTGTAAGAGCCGTTATCCTCCATACCAGAGTCTGATCTCTTTGAACCCCCACGATATCCTCCTCTCCCACCTCTCGCATTGTGAGCCATCTTCTGTCGCTTGCTGGCTGGCAGATCCACCTTCAAAGTTTTATCGTACTTTTTCTTATATTCTAGTCTGTGACGTCGACCTTGAATATGAAATTCCTTGGCTGTGGCATCCATAAAGCTGCAATTGCACATGCTACAGAAAAATATGGTCCTCTTCGTCGTGGAATCATATTTGGTTTCTACGAATTCCTCCCCAACTTTTTCAGCTTTGTTTGTTGATTCTTCAGGGTTGAGAGGAGTAATATTATCAGGAATAGGCTTTCCAAGTCTCTTGTGCAGCTGAACTTTCTTATCATGCTTAGAACCTTTGATGTGGGCCTGAAAAGCTTCACTAGTAGTACTGGTTATGTCACAGAGAACACACTGGTAGAAACCAGATTTGGGAAGTTTGGGATCAGCATCGGCACCTTGCTCAGCTTTAGCGGCTTTCTTCAAATGCTTTGATCCATCCAGATGAGCTTTATATGTTGCAGCTGTTCCACATGTTATTTTGCAGATCTCACAGTAATGAACAGCCTGCACAGATCCAGCATTATAGCCTCCACGTCCGCGACCTCTTCCGCCGGTAGTCACGCGCCCAGTTGCCTTGTACTGGGCCTGCTTTATCTGATTCCAGTCTTGTGTGTAGTAAGTTACTTTTCCTGCAGGTTTAGAATAGCTCGAAGCTGAAGGGTAAGAGACATTTGGGGTAGAGGTAGTATTGGATGTACTATATGTGACATATGATGGGTTTGCAGCACTGCTGCCAGCAGGATTGTATCCTGGTATTAAGCTGTTTTTCGCCTTGCTATAAGTACCACCGGCACTACTACTACCCCAATAGCTCATTTATTACCTAAAGAAGTAAAGGATTACCTTCAAATAAAAGATTTCATAAGAGCATGGACATTTAATTCAACACATTGCGGTAACTAACATTCATACTTTATCACTGCAATTGAACAGGCTGTTACCTGACTCGTTTGACTTTAGATAGAAATTTTGATGTGTTCTTTTATTTACAGGTTACCCTTAAGATTAAAGATGCCCAATATACCAGCATGTGATATTCATAAGTTTAGTAGTTTGCAGATGAAAAACAGCTTGACCATAGGATTTTGAAGATGCAAATAAACTCGAATATCATATTATCAGAATTAGAAAAAAATGCCATAGAAAGCTATTCAAATACATGTTAACTGAACGAAAATCTCACCATGACATTTCAACGAAATCTTATGATTCAAAACTCATCAGCTTTAAAAAGTAATTCTTATTAGACTCTCAGCCCCATTCCATGTGTTAACAATGTAATCTAAGATTTGGAATGACCAGTTCAATTACCACATCACAATCTCATAACAATTTATCTATAAATAACTAAGCTTGCCGATTTTAGGCATTGACAGTAAACATTTTTCAAGATAAAACCTAAACCTTAGAAAAAATTCATCCACTTATAAATTAGAGAACGTCCAAATGTTGCTATGATATAAAGTTTATTTACTAATAAACGTGAAGCAATGCTTGCATTGTTCTATATAAAAATCTAGTTCAAGTCACTGTGGATTTAGAGGCTGGCTTCAAGGGAGATTCCATGACTTAAACCGGTCAGGGTTTTGGCGTTAACCTGGTTGGAGAATGTAGCCTCCAGCCATGGCTTCACTTTGTGGGTAACGGAGAGGGTGGTCTTTCCGCTGCAGTCGATCTTCATCCTCAGAGCAGTGGCTTTGTCAAGAGTGTGTTTGGCACCAAAGTTGAAAGCACATCCGTTGGTCTGGTTGTTCCAGTTCAATGAAGCAGCAACTTCAGTATCATCATTTACTTTGTGATGGACAAGTCCTTCAAACAGGGATAGATCTTTCACGAATCCAACAAAGCTGAAATCGTTCTGAGAGTAGCCAACAGCGAGGGTGTTCTTGGTGAGCTTAGACTTTTCTGTGTCGAATGCAACCTCAACACCTCCTTGTACTCCACTGTATTCTCCGACAGCTGTGGCGTTCAAAGTTGGTCCAGCAAGGTCAAGGTTAGCATTGAAGGTTCCATTGAAACAGTCCGTTTTGTATGCTGTTTTGGCAACAGCACCCTTCTTTCCCGAGGCAGCATTAACAACTACCTCAAGGTCGAGTTTGAGTCCTTTGCAAATCTTATCTTCGACAATAAGATTAGTTTTGGTCACATTCTCAGAAGTCCATTTCTCCTTGAGAGTAAATCCCTCGGAGGGAGAACCAGATGTCTCAAATGAAGCGACGAGAGCATCGTTCTTCATTTCGAAGGTAGGGCTCAGAGAAATACCAGATGATGTCTTGGTTTTCACGGTCAGTTTGTTGCTGCCGATGGAGAAACCCTTGTTGAACACATCTTTGGCAACCTTTCCAAGGTCAGAGAATGTTGGTGGGACAACCATGATGCTAAGAGAGCTGAAATGAGAGTAATTAGTTACAATTAAGTACATAATTCATTATTCAATAAATTTACATATAACTAAGACCAATGTGTGAAACTAAGGGAAAGATACGTTCATCTGAAAGTTCAATGAAAACTGATACTGTCCCAGAACAAAAACGAAGACATTTTTTTAATCACAAGGTTGACGAGATATCAGTGAGTTAGTCAAGACACTAAATTCTGTGTAGAAAATTAGAATTTTAATTTCATTTTGTGGACAAGTTAAACATTGAGATGGTTTATTAGAACTAAACCTACAGTATGAATAAGGGCGTGGAAACACTCTTTAATGAAGTAATAAACACGAGTAGAAAGTTATGTAAATATATACTCAGCATGAGCGCCTCAGAAAGTTAAATTACAATGTATTAAAACATACAATACACATATAGGGAGTAGTTAAGGATCCATTGAATCCATGCAATCTCCTCAAATAACTCAGCCAGATGATAGCATAGGAAACTTAATTGAGGGGCAGAATCAAAAATTAGTTCTTTAAACAAATTGAAATAGGCTAAACAATACTGGTAGGATGTAATGAAAACGCGTTGACTAAACAGCTTAGAAACCGGTTCGGCACGAAAGTTTAAGGGGGCATACACCAAAACAGTGGTTTGTGCCGTCCAGACCAAATGACCTCATAGGCAGTTCAGTGACCTTCTAGCGCACCGTTTCCACACCAAAAAAAATTATTTTGAGAATACCCATTTTTGTAATCGACCATTTCCTGGTTAAGAGTGCATTTTCGGAAAAAATTATTTTGTGGTTGAGACGCTATAAGTTAATCATTTCTTGCGGTATCGGGTTGAAATTTTGCTCGCCGTTTATTCACATCTATTTCAAGGTGTGTGTAAAATCTTGATATCGTATCTAAAAAGGCTGGTGTGTTATGAATTTTTAAAGTCAAAAAGCTAAAATTGTCCTTTTCAGGCTTATTTTAACAAAAAGTCAGTCAGGGAAGATCGGATTATTTGATGCTTGACATCAAATTGTTCTCTGAATTCTGGCGCAGTTTTTGATGCCCTCAAAAATGTTTTTACTCATTCACCTTCTGATCTATTGGACCTCAAAGCCAAACAACAAATTAAGACACATTTTTCGTTTTTAATATTTACCGATTTTTCCAAAATTTTGATAGGAATGTGCTAGTGACTTTTTGAAGGGTGCAAAATAACCGCAACTAGCACATTTATATATGAGTTATGAACAAAAAAACACCCTAAAATGCTTCCCTTTGAAGTTATGGGAGAGAATGTGATTTTTTGGCTTTGCAGATAAAAAATCACATTCTCTCCCATAACTTCAAAGGGAAGCATTTTAGGGTGTTTTTTTGTTCATAACTCATATATAAATGTGCTAGTTGCGGTTATTTTTCACCCTTCAAAAAGTCACTAGCACATTCCTATCAAAATTTTGGAAAAATCGGTAAATATTAAAAACGAAAAATGTGCCTAAATTTGTTGTTTGGCTTTGAGGTCCAATAGATCAGAAGGTGAATGAGTAAAAACATTTTTGAGGGCATCAAAAACTGCGCCAGAATTCAGAGAACAATTTGATGTCAAGCATCAAATAATCCGATCTTCCCTGACTGACTTTTTGTTAAAATAAGCCTGAAAAGGACAATTTTAGCTTTTTGACTTAAAAATTCATAACACACCAGCCTTTTTAGATACGATATCAAGATTTTACACACACCTTGAAATAGATGTGAATAAACGGCGAGCAAAATTTCAACCCGATACCGCAAGAAATGATTAACTTATAGCGTCTCAACCACAAAATAATTTTTTCCGAAAATGCACTCTTAACCAGGAAATGGTCGATTACAAAAATGGGTATTCTCAAAATAATTTTTTTTGGTGTGGAAACGGTGCGCTAGAAGGTCACTGAACTGCCTATGAGGTCATTTGGTCTGGACAGATTTGGTGTATGCCCCCTTAAGTAGCTCATTAATAGCAGTTTGTTTGCTCAGATAATGCCTTCTGAGACTGTGATATTTAATACTTTATTTGTAGGCCACCAGCACGCTCTAAAGCAAAACAAGAGTGTTTCGGTGAAGCTTGATTATTGACGACGAAGCTGTTACATCACGCACATCTAGCAAGATGACTGATAGGATAAAATTTCGAATAGACGTGAATACAGAAACAGACATATTTACGAATACAAATTGGATTACCGAGATCCAAGTAGGCAAGATCAAATCAAATCAAATCAAAATATAATGACACAAACATCATCACACATCATCAAAAATATATCTACTAAAGTTTTAAAATTATTTTAAATCTATTCGCCTAAACAACCAAGTTAAAATGAATGCGGCTATTATGTGTTACATGCGCACCAGGATTAGATTCTCAATCCTCAGGAGCACCCTGATAGCGGTCAGGGGTGAGAGAGGGAGACGGCAATCGTATACATTGCCAGTCAGTGTAACTTCGTTTAACTTGATACCTGCCACCATGGACTATGAATGTTTCTAGACACTATCCTTTTGATATTGAGATATTGGTATCTCAGATCACGTGTACATCGTTCCTTTTTTTATGACACAGTAATTTATTGACACTCATGTCAGCTATAATTTTAATCATTGAATCAGTATTTTTATCTATTAACTTATTACATATTTGTGCTCTGCTTTAGCATCACTTGACTATTAAAGTTCAGGCCATGACCTTATAGTCAGCCAATTGGCCATTGCTATATTATGTGTATATTGTTTGAATATTCTTTTCTTCTGTAAAAAAAATAAAGTTAAAATGAATCTAATTTACATACTTTCCACTACTATATAAGTTGATAAAGCGTTTTTTAGCAACATGAGGATTACACACAAGATATTCATTGTGCTTCTCTTTATTAGTAGCATAATTTAATCCATCAATCTTTCCTATTATATATATTTCATCCGAAACATACCAAAAATAACTATCATTTATACAGATCCGTTTAAAATAGTTTTTTTAAAAAGCCTCTAATCTTATTTTAAAACTTAACACAGTCCCACAATTTTTGACATCCGAGGGAAGTTTGTTCCAATTAAATATGGTCTCACCCTCTCCAAGAGAAAAGAACTGTGGACTTTCTTCATTTTACTGCTACTTTTACTTTTATTTGACGGATGTTACTCGCCTAAATTTCTTTGAAGTAGCGCGCACCGCTTTCTTCTCGATGGCAAGTGCTACGAAGTAGCGCGCGCCGGGCCAGATCATCATTAACAATGGTCAACTTTTACTGCATCTACTGTTTAATACCACATTAAGACCAGATCTTCTCATACTGAACTAACAAGCTCCGTAATTGGCCAAACCACTTATCATTTTAAAAGATTCAATGAGGTCCCCACGTATTCGCTGCTCTGCCAGCGTTATTAAATTAAGGATGTCCACTCGACAACTGTATATGGAAGAGTACCCATCTCGTCAATCAGACAAAAGATGGGCAAAGACAAAAGATATTGGGCAAGATTTATTTACGACTTATTAGTTTTGTGTCACGATAGAGTTTAGTGAATTAATCAACCTGGTGCATAATTTATATCAAATCTAATCAAAACTTGTCATTTGACATAGTACGTTGCATGCCACTTTTCGCGCGTGATATTGGGATACGAAACATGTATCAACTTGTCATGTGTTGTATGACCCGCCGCGCACGAGTGCGCGGCTCCCCTGTATCGTCAGGGCTATAGTGAAACGACGTCGTGGGGGTCACAACTTGATACAACACACTACATAGAAAAATAACTATTTCTTCTGTCTTCATCATATCAAATTTAAAGGTAATAATTTATCAAATATTAATCATGAATAAAAACAACATTTAAAAAATGTAATTTATTCATACTATACTTCCCAGTGAAGTAAAGATTCATAAAACGTTTCTTGCTACGTACATGATAAGGATGAAACCACAGATAATAATTGTGTTTTTCCTTATTACTGATATAACTGGTACCTTCAATTCTTGTTAAAACTTCTTTCGAAACATTCCAAAAATTAAAGTCATTTACAATACATTTATATTAGAAATCATGTTCTTTTTAAAACTTTCCAATCCAATTAACAATTTTAAGACTCAAAACTGTCAAGCAGTTCTTCACCTCCGAAGGGAGTTTGTTCCAATAAGGAACAACCCGCTCTGGAAGAAAAGAACACTGAAGATTCTTTACCTTTATCACACTTTTACTACATCTATTGGATGAAACCAGATTAAGACCTGATCTGCTTTACTACTTTACATTTACTATGCAAATGCAGTGGCGTAACGAAGGGCCCTGCTGACCCTGCTGTGCAGGGGGGCGCCGTCTTAGGGGGGCGCCAAATCGTCGTTTGAATGTGGGACAATTTCGAAAACTTAACTAAAGTACTAGCAAAACTGCGCGTTTTGCTCTAGATACACACTTTTTTTAGAGATTTTACCGGCGTATCCTCTTAAATCGCCTAATTTGTTCAATTTTAGGGAGGGGCACCAAAAGGAGAGGGGGGCCAACAGGGGGGGGGGGGCGCCTTTTCGGCAGGGGGGCGCCAACAGGCAACGTTACGCCACTGTGCAAATGTACTATTTTTCTGCCACTTACACTGTGGTGTACTTTGGTTCCGCATTGTTAAAAGATTGACCTTGCACTTTGCCCCGGGTCATGATATTTCGAGAAAAAAGCGGCACACTCTATTTTGAGTAAATTTAGATGACTATCATCCGTCAAGTACTTCTCCAACTACATAATGTGATTTGACTGAATGAATTAATTTAAATTATTTACATTTTTCCATCCTAAATTTACATTTTTCCATCCTAAATGTCTTGGCAAGTCTGCACCAGTGGACAGTGAACGGTGGGTTTGTCAGAAATGTAGGGATAATGTAGAGAACCAGCAGATCATTGATGCTCCTGACGAGGAAAATGATATCTGTTATAACTGTCCCGTGTGTAGGAGTGTTGTGGGGGATTCGG